AGCATGAGATCGACAGGCGGATCAGTGCAGCGTTGGCCGCCATCGGAAGCTCTCAATTTATCAGTCTATCTACGCTCCCACCCTTATCTATGGCCACGAACATTGGGTAGTGGCCGAAAGAACAAGATCGCAGATACAAGTGGCCAAACTGAGTTTCCTCCACAGGGTGGCTGGGCTCTCCCTTAGAGATAGGGTGAGAAGCTCGGCCATCCGGGAGAGGCTCGGAGTAGAACCGCTGCTCTTCCATGTCGAGAGGAGCCATTTGATGTGGCTCGGGCATCTGATTAGGATGCCTCCTGGTGGCCTCCCTTGAGAGGTGTTTTGGGCACTTCCCACCGGTAGGAGGCCCAGAGGAAGACCCAGGACACGCTGTAGGTGACTATGTGCCTCAGCTGGCCTGGGAACACCTTGGGATCCCTCCGGAGGAGCTGGCAGAAATGGCATGGGACCTCTCCCATGCCAAGTCTGGGTTTCCCTGCTTCAGCTGCTACCCCCACGACCCGACCCAGGATAAGCAGTGGAAAAGGGATGGATGGATAATAAGTGTTAAAGGAGAAGGATCCTTTTAAGATCTATGTTAACTCAAAATCCAACTACTTACTGTGGAACTGTTCACTTAGTAGGACCAAAAACATTGATTAATCACAACTCTAAATACCTCTATGTAGTCACTTCAATTATAAGTAGCAAAAATTACAATAATTTCCCCTTAATCACAGTTCCAATTCCAATAACGATGCTGTACAATTAAGAACTTTATTATTTACATGCAAAAACAATTAAACCTATTGTATTTGTTGTTGTTGTTTTATTCCAAAAAGTACAAACATGTTTATAAGGTCATGTGAAACACAGATAGGAGTTCTTTTAAGTTTTTTGTTTGTTGTTGTCTCTTTTTTTGCAATCAGATGGGTCTTATAGTTGGACATCACATATCTATCAGTTGTTATGGCTTTGACATTAAACAAGGGTATCTGGCAATCATTATCACGCTTGACCACCATTTGGCATCATATTTCTATGAAACTAACTTTTTTTCTTGGTCACTTTTAAAAAAAAATATAGATGGCAAGGAAAGCACAAATCCAGCATGCTTTTCAACATTACCCACAAAGCAACCCATTATAAATACAGAAATAAGGATGTTGCCAAAATTAGATACAATAAAGCAAAAGACCAAAACACAGTTCAACAACACAGAGCATTATTTTCATTGCAATACCAAACAATTTGGTGATCTTAAAGTTAAAACTCTCTCAATAAAAGAAAAAATAGGACCCATAATGGGCTGCTTTCCTTAGAATAAAGTTTATCAAAGATAATGTGGTGACCTCACATTTTTAAGGATTCTGTTTCCTAAGTTTGACCCTCTAATTTCATAATCCTCTAATCTTCTAATCACCACTATCGCAAGAACAAAGTTGTGGATAAGTAGGAACAAAATTCATATCAGGCAGTTTAGATCTGTTTGTTTCCATCTGGAAAAGACATTGGAATGAACAGGTTGTAGGGCCAACTGGCGGCTTTCTTTCTTTCTATCAAAATGCCTCCCAGACATGATGGTGTCCACAGCAGTCTCTCCTGGTGAGCTGGCTTCCATGATGAATGGCCACCCTTCCACTCTTTATCGCCTCACTAAATCACAGGCTTAGCATGAGTTTATGACCACTTTTTCTGCTTTGTTTTACTTACCCACTGTTTTTTTAATCAAATCCAAAGCCTGTGGTTTCATGTTTTGTGCTTTACACTGTATTTATCTTTAAAACTTGAATCATTGCATTGGTATTCAGGTGGTTGTCTGAAATCCAACAACATAAATCATATTCTGTGACAAAGAAGTGAGATCTTTTCGGACAGAGGGAATGCTTCCCAGAATATGCTTGCATCTAAGGATTAGAAAATGTACTATATCATTTAATTTGCAGTTTTTTCCAACCTTTATTTCTAACATAGCACGCCGGAATTTTCTTTGAATGACATGATTCTGCTAAACTATAAATTATTCATGAGATTGGAGGCTAAACTTGGAGCTGGTCAGAGCCCAAACAGACCGACAGGTAGACAATAAGGTAGGGGTGACAACCTGAGAGGAGACTGATATCCTTTCCTCTGAAGTGTGATAAATTACTTGACAATGAATTTTGATTTGTGTTTGTGAGAATCCTTGCCTTTCTGCTCAAGGCTGTGTCCTTTCAAACTTTCTTTTTTGATGACCACCAAATTGAGTGATGTTCTCAGTCACTGGGACCTTTAATCTTTTGTTTCCTCAAAGTGGACGTTCTAGGTTTATAAGTGTTTATCGTGGGCTTGACTACCACGACAATTTCCTTTTTTTAAGACACGATGATTGCACAACCTTTTCCTTAAGACTTTTGTCAAAAACTTTTAATTTATGCTGTATTTTTTGAAGATATCTCAGAGCCACAAGTATGCACACAAGGTCGTGGGCATATATGTGGTACATCCAAATGTTTACTGAATGTCCTTTGGCAAGTTGCCCTTTGACCAGACATTTTAGAATCCATCATCCAAGTTCTCGCTGAATTTTGGTTCAATATTTGTCCCCTCTCGCCATGTTGTTAGAAGAACTGTTGGTTTCCATCCATAAGCTTAACTTTTAAGCGCACTCTATGTATTTTCTGGGTAGGGGTCAGAACCATGTAAAGTCCATCCAAAAGCTGAATGTTAGTCTACATAATAGTTTCCATTCTCCCATCACCATTTGCATGTTTGCTTAATGAATTGTTGGAGCACAAAACTGTCAAAAGTCGACTAGTGCTGGTGATTTTTAGTGTGCTGAATGCAAAGATACCCCCCGTGGAGTAATAGTTGTCTTCTTGTTTAGAGTCACTCATCAAAATTTCGTACCTCTTTTCAATATAAACTATTCTGTCCATTTCTAACACCCTAAAAATACCCTCCAGTAGATGTAGTTCTTTCTCCTTTGGGTCTCCTCAGAGCTTTGATCATGTTCCAACACATTAGGTTCAGAGAAGGCTTTCTCACCTTGGTCAGAAAGACATGAAACTTGCCAGACTGGTGTTCCAGCTATTTCCAATGCATGGTTCTTTCGGTGTTCCTCAAGGAACATGCTCTCAGTTTCCTCATCCAAAGACTTGTAATCATGGAAAAGTTGGTTTATTTTAACTTTGCATTTGATTAGACAACAGCTCTTCACATTTTTGTAAAAGGTTAATCAAAAAGTTGTATAACTAAGGTTCTTAGACTTGGACTAAGGCTCTTAGAGGGTTGTCAAACAAGCTGTTTAGGCATTACAAGAAGCTTCCCGTTTTTTTTTCTTGATCTTATGCATATTATTATGAGCCTGAGGTTATTTCAGACAACCCAAGGTAAAAATGTGTGTAGAACAGTTCCGTCCATCTGTAAACCCAATAATACATCAACTAATATTACCACCGGCAATGATGATATTTGACATTCATTTTAAATCATTTTTGACCCCAGTATTTCTATTCAAAGGTTCATTTCATAAAGAAAACACGAATGTTCTCAGGAAACACCCATATTAAATTATACTAGGATTTGGATGTTTTGGTCCAAGATTTAATATGCGGGTCTTCAATGTGCTTTGAATTTTGAAACAGACACATTGCATTGATAAAACTGAATGAAGTTTATGTACTGTACTCTGCCTCCCCCTAGTGAACAGAGAAAATACATCTTTGCAGGTATCTTGACTGGAATGAATCTTTTGGAATAACGCAAATGTTGACAGGGAATGGACAAATAAAAATGGACAGAAGCAAACTTAACCCTATTTCCTTGACCTAATGTTTTAACCAGCATGGGGTAATTAAAAAATTCAAAATGCATTCCCTGAACGTGACTGAAGTTGGTCATGATGGTCAAAGAATAATATGTATCTAGCTATGTTTAGATGTTAAAACTAAACATTCAATATTCATCGGTCATTTTTAACTCTTCTGTAATTGAATCTCACAAACCAGAGCAAACTATTCCACAGTCCTACGACTTGGTGGATTATATGATCTATCAATCACCTAAACAAAGCTTTGAGTGTGTGAGCTACTGCCAGGGGAGGTCTGACCTGCGGCCCAGCATGACATTGAAGGAAGGAGTGCTACTCACCCAGGAAATCCTATTATACCAAAGTATGATGGATATCATCACCAGGGAAGCTCATATGTGTTCTGACATATAATTTGTTATCATTTGCAAAAAGAAAAAAAAAAGAGTGACTACTTTCACCTTTATCCCTACCTTTACTTTCTATGGGTTTTTTTCTCTTAATACACACAATGGTTTACAGTAAATATCCGAAATCCAAAATTCAATGTTCCTGCATGCTGTGCTTGTGATGTCTGGGCTGTGATGACATTTCTGAAAGCTCAACAAAGATTGAACAGACATTAGATCCACTTTTGTTGTCTGAATCAGGGAGGAATAGATTATCTTTGTAGTAGGGCACCAGAGTTGATCAATAACACTAAAGAGGTTGTGCCATGCTTACGAGCAAAGGTGAACAAAAGAGGGAAGCCCGTATCCATCATGCCACGGCAAAATACTTTTTCATCAACACTAAAAGACAGAAAAGTGTAAACAAATGCCACATGCGCCCACCTGCAAGGAAGCATTTTATTGCATCACTTACCTGAAACCTAAAACAAAAGGTTAATCTGTCAACATGCACTCTTCTCAACAGTCTTCTGTTTTGTTTGTTCTACATCACTTGTCTGTGCAATATTGATTATTAAAGAGAATACTCTGAAGATTTTAGGCCAACATTCAATTTAAAAAACAACATCACAGCATGCAACCTTTGAACAATTATTTGGCTTTATTGGCTTTTAAGTCTTCCCTTCCCAAAATAAAAAGCTTGATCATGTTGTAACATGTTACACAGTGGTTTCTTACATGTATTATCTATTTGTTGTCCTGACTGTGACTGTTATCTGTCTCTGAACTTTCCCCTTCATATGCTTAACCAACAAGAGAAACAGTTAACTAACAGTGGGCCAAACATCAGTGCAGGGAGGTCACTGCAAGTGAGCCACAACAGAAGGAGCTTTTCAACACACCACAGAAACGTTAGAAGTGACACTTTAAAAGAGCTTACGAGCACACCAAGAAGATGAAAAGGAAGAGGATTGGCCTCACACATTTGAGACCTTTGACAAAGGGAATCTGAACTGAATGCATGATCTGCTGGGTGCAGTGGTATCGGTGCAGTTTTGCGAATCAAGAAAAGCTGTCAAACACAGATTCATGAGGCATTCTGGGACTATCCTATTTCCAAAGACTGAACAGTTAAACAACTCAATGCCGATACGACTGCCTACAATTACAGCAGGTATGAAGATCACACCTTCACCTCGATCATTCTGACACACAGACACAGGCTGTCTAAGGATGCATAAAAAAGAACAGCTTCGGAAACACGTCAGCTCAAGCTCCACTTTATGATTTGTTTTTGCTGTACAATTGACCACTGTTCCAACTCAGAAACGTCTTCTCTTGGTAAGGCTTTATATTTTATGTAAGTCAAGTGTTCATTTCAGGTCACTGTTGGTTTTAATTTAAAATGTCCCCCATAATCCAACACTCTGACCTTCTAATTAAGCATGTTGAGCTGAATCAGGCCTTCTAACTGGCAGTGTAAATGAAGAAGCGCTGCCACCAGGCTGCTCCTCTATTCCAGATAACTGCAAGGCAAACGGATTCTAATCTCTTAATTCAATCGAACTGATCTTTGACCACAGAAAGCATTTTCCTTGTTAAATTGTAATCCCCAGCTGCCTCGTCTGCCTAAACGAAGTGTGCAATTTGCAGACATCATTGCCTGGGGTCTGTACAGTCTCTACAAGAGCAATCAAACACTGAAAGGATGCAGTTAAGAGAACCAGGGAGGAGAGGCTGGATGCCCAGTGTAGAATTTGCCAGAGGAGAGTGCTGGACTTCACCACTGACCTCTAGCTGCTTTAATTAAATGGGGAGTTTCCTCTTACAACTGAGTAATAACGGACAGAGATCCTCAGAGGCCCGTAGCATTCAAAGATGAGTCCACTGATTGTATAATGATGCTCTTATCATCCTCACATTGTGCCTGACAGGACTGTGAAACAGCACTCTGATGATGATTATTTTGTTTTGAAGTTGTATGCACTGACCAAACCATTGACTCTTTGCAGAGAAGTAGAATAAGATTCTTAATGTGCCGTCCGTGATCAAAGAAAAATTTAAACCTATCACAGAACCCAACTGATTTCAGCTATGATTATATCTTTGCTTGTCTTTGAACCTATAATCCTCAGATACACCAATGTCAGCCCCCACTTCAGTGTTGCTGGATACTGGGGGTGGGCCTCAGTGTGCAATATGTGCCGACAAGGCCACAGGAAAACACTATGGTGCAGCCAGCTGTGATGGCTGCAAGGGCTTTTTCAGAAGAAGCATTCGCAACAACCACATTTACAGCTGTAGGTGAGTGTCATCATAGTTCCTCAGCATATATGTATTTCTGTATGAGCCGAAATCCACCAATATTTATTAAATTAACTCAACTGACCAATGTGCACCAGGGTCAGCCACGGTTTCCAGTTCATTTTCTAAATCAATCAACCATTGTGCTAAAGGGTGACAACACTTTGGATCAAGTCAAGAGTCAGCTCATAAGCCGTGGAATTTTTAATATTCGTCATGTATAAATTTGACACATAAAATTCTGTTTATAGGCTCTGTGGAGCACCACTGCATCTGTAACAAAAGTTCCATGAAGCCTTTAGTGGCTCCGGGGGGAAATTAGAGTAATCTGATACATTTCCACTTATGATGTCACTTGTAAAGGTGTTGGCTTGTTTTTTTCTAGTGTAAAAATGAAGGTTCCAGATTATAAAATTGAAGCAGTCCAATGGCAGATTTACAGTATGAAAAAATGAATAACTCTGTCAAATATGTTTGTAAAAGAGACATTTTTGTGAATTCTTAATTTAGAAAGAATAGTTTTAACAACGGTGGCACGGTGGTCTGGTGGTTAGTAGGGGGGTTAGAGGCAAAATGTGCTTCTGGTTTCAGTCTGCCACCAGATGTCACTATAGCACAAACACTGGACCACAGTCCTGTAACAAGTCAGAAAAATTAAAAGTTCACATAGATAGCAAACTGCATGTAATCCTTCGGACGTCAGCTCCTTACCCTTGCTTTAGTTACAACAGTAACAACCACCTGCACAGATCATTTCAGCCTAAACAAGTGCTGCAGTTGCAATGATTGTAATGTAGGCCGCAGGATTTCAAAGGAAAAAATTTTACTCAGTTTGTTTGAGGGGTAAAATCTGTTTCAAAATTCCTCCCTATACCTAAATCCCGAAGTCACATTTTTCAGGTTTAACAGGCAATGCGTCGTGGACAAAGACAAGAGGAACCAATGTCGTCATTGCAGACTACAAAAATGTTTCAAGGCTGGCATGAGAAAGGAAGGTTGGAAAGTTTTCCTTTTTTCTTTCAGTCACAATGTTCAAAATTCAGATAAAGTTCAAATACTGCATGAGTATTTAAAAACCTCAAATTATATAACAAACTAGATCATGAGAAATGAGCGTGTCACAGCAAATTTTCACGTGTTTCTGTTTGCTAAGCATTGCTATCATTCTCCCCAACTTTCACTGACTGCCGCAGATGAGCAGGGCAAAAGAGAAGCGATCAGATGAGTCGGGTCTCCATACATGAATAATTAACATGCCTGAAGATTACCAAATATTTGCTGTGCAATACTGTGGAAGTATGTTACTTCCAACCCTCTGAGGTGAAGGACATGGGTACAAATCTATGATTTGTTACTTGTCTAATTTAAATATCTTTGCTGAAATATGACTTGACAATCAACTCCAGCTGTGTTAGAGAGCAGTGCATTTTGTAACTATTTAATCCAAAACTATACTTAACTGATCATCGGAACAATATTAATCAGGTACAATGTCAAGCACAACCATGTCAGTAAAGCTCAGAGGTGCCAGAAGCTCCTCCCCCTCCACACATAGTCTGATTAATGTGCTTGCTTACTAGAACCCTATGGTGAGTGATGACTTTGACGCCTCGACATGTCCTTTGACTTTGTAAAGGCATACTAAAATCAGTCTGAGGGCGTCCAGGCCCTTAATGACTTTTGCAAGTAATCAATATGTTGTGACTACATGTTGTCTACATTACAAAACATATTCTATACAAGCAAGCATCCAGACATGAATCCCTACAACATAATTTAAACATTACTCTTTATAACTAAGTGGTGTTCAGCTACTTAAAATGCTGAGGGAAAAAAATTATTTTGACTTTAGGTGAATTGGTAAAAAGGATAGAAAGGGTTTAATCAAGACAATAATATTTCCAATTAAAATGTTATAATTACTTGTACTCCTTTAAAAATATGAAAATAAAAATGAAATTTCTTTTCATGTTACTTTACATCAACTCCCAAAGAAATCCTCAACAAAGGGCAGTTGTCTGCAGAGGCGTGTGGTGGACAGATGAGTGGAGAAGCCAAGAACTTCTCTGACTGGTCTTTTTGTCCCTCCAGCTGTTCAGAATGAGAGAGACAGCATCAACATTAACAGAACTAAGGGACAAGTAGCGGGTACTCTGTCAATCAATGTGCTGCTGTGGGAAGAGGCCAATGTGCAACAGGTAAAACACTGCTTAAGATCACAATCAAGATACAAAGTTCTGTGACAGAAACCAAGTCTTTTTTCATATGACCTTCAATTGATCATCTCTATGTTTCTGGAAATCTCTTAGATGAAGGCCAGAGATGAAAAGTTCTTAGGTTACATTTAAGACAGACTCTCTGTGGGTTGGATTCAGTTTCTCGAAATTGAAGTAAAGAACAAAAATGCAGGAACTCATCTGATCATGGCCCACTTACTGCATCACTATGTCTTAGAATATGTTCTGTTGCTTTCAAAAGCATAATAACAACCAGACATGTCAGACATCTTAAAGGAATGCATGGGTGCATGGAATATAGGATCGTTGCAGTCATATCTATACATGTATCAATAAACACATAAATAAATACATGTTCCTGAATACTTGGCTTAGGTCACTTAACTCTAACCAGTCAGTTAGTTATTAAAAAGATACCCAAATAATGACCATCCATGTCGCATCACGTTGTGCTATTTGTCCAATTTCAGGTGAATAGACAAGTACCGTATAAAGACAGACATTTGAGATCCCTAAAATGATTCAAATTTGGCAAACAGCATCTTAAAACAGCTTTTTAGCTATAGAAATAAATGAAAATGCAAAAAACAACAAAACAACTGCATTACATTTGACAAACTGGGTTCTAGTCTTCTCTTGGATTGCATTGATTCGCAGCCCTCAATCATCTAACACAAAGCTTACTCTTTCAGGTCCTGGCACTGCACTCATCTCAGAGTCATGACATCACCTCCAAGAAGACTGCCTGTGTGGGAGACGTGTTTGAGTCTATGAAGCAGCAACTCCTCCTGCTGGTGGAATGGGCAAAACGCATCCCAGAGTTTTGTAGCCTCCCGATAGACGACAGGGTATTAAGAGGATTGAATACCTCAAAAACCTCACTATGAGCTGCATTACACTGCATCCATGCAGAATCAAATAATAATAACTGACCCTTCATGTCACGTTTAGTGAGTTTGGACATCTGTCAATTATCGTTTATGCTTTAAATTTACACGTTGCAGTTGTCTGTAATACAAAACCTATGTTGTGTTTGGCTGCAGGTTAGCCTGCTACGGTCACATTCTGCAGAACATCTTATTCTAGGGGCAGCAAGACGCTCACTACCTTACCACAAACTCATTCTTCTAGGTAAGACACCAGATACAAACTTTCTCATATCTAAGTGTTGGAGGAAAAAACTTACTGCAAGCAATGATTGAATCTACAGTAATTCTCTCTCATTGATGTGCTTATGTTCATTGAGCAGGTAATGACTTCGTGATACCCCTGATAGGAGCAGAAGTAGAAGTGTCCAGAGTAGCTTTCAGAATCCAAGAGGAACTTGTCAAACCTCTCAAGGAGCTGGACATCTCGGATAAAGAGTTTGCTTGCCTCAGAGCCATTGTTTTCTTTGCCCCAGGTCGGTTCAGTCAATCTAGTCAAAAACAATGTCTGTTTTGTACGAAGAAAATAGTCTCTTTTGGGTCTCTTTTTCCAGGCTGTATTTCATCAGGATTTAGTGGCACAGATGAAATATGAAAGTGAATGAAAATGTCCCAAATTAAAATTAAAAAGTCATTGATGATCGTGGCACTGCTGAATGCACTGATACTGCTGCCTGTAATAGAAGGCTGCAGTGTCGGGTACCCAACATTTCTAAACAAGCTCTGTTTATTGAAGAGCCAAACTAAAATTATCTCAAGCATCGGAACTTTTACAAATTCCAAAAAGCTTTGCACCAACAGTCCTATCAGGCTGTGCTTAAGTTGCCCCTTTAGACAAAAATAGAGTATGCCGCAAGAAGAAAAGGTGTGCCAAGTGTCTGTGTTCATTTCCTTAGAAGACTTGAGCATGTCATTTTCAACAAAGTAACGTTAACCAACAACCGGATGAAGTGTATTTCTGCCTTTTCTACGTTAACGTGATCCTTAAACCTTTTCTTGCAGACTGTCCAGGGCTCGAGAGCTCTCGAGTGGTTCGACACTTGCGTCTGCAGGCTCACCTTCTGTTAGAAGAAGCAACTTGTGAGCAGCGAGGAAGGTTTGGGGAGCTTCTGCTGATTCTTCCTTCCCTGCAGAGTGTTGCTTGGCAGATGGTGGAGACTCTACATCTGGCCCAGCTGCTCGGTGAGGCCAAAATGGACAGCCTGCTACAGGAAATGCTGCTGGGGGAGGGAACCAAAACTGGGGAAGGACTCTGTACAGGTAGGAAATGGCAGCCAACTACTTGAGACCATATATATATTTAGCCATTTCTATGTGACATTCACATATCTTCCCTTATATTCTTGTATCTCCTCTTCCTTCAGGCAGTGACCCAACTCAAGACAAAAACAGCGATGCCACAGCGTCACCTTCTAACTTCTCCTCCGTCATCTCTCATGTCTCAACAGTCTAACCTATTCTTACAAAGCAACTCATGCCTCACAGCATATAAATGTTGACTATATGTCAGCTACTATTATTACATCAGCAAACAAATGTTGTATTTATTTTTTATTTCAAATCCAAAGGAAGAAACATTTACTTCAATTTTTGATCATGTTAAACTGATATTTTTTGCCATGAGACATTAATTCAGACACTGAATGCTTGTATTATAAAAGGCAAGGGTGATGCCTGTTTGTTTCACACAGCTCTTACCAGTGGCCTTCCTACTGCCCACACAGACTGGCACTGAGGTGTACAGACATGGAAGCTGCCAGTGTTCCCACGACATACCAGAGGTGCATTTGTCTTCAGCAAACACTTCAAGAGGCGAAAAGTCAGCCAGGGAGTGAAAGCCTGTGAATATAAGGCAAAATGCAAACCAAGAAACAGGTCATGTGTGCTGTACAGAACACTTCATACGAATCATAAATGTATATACGGTATGTGTATATCCAGCTACCCACAGCTAAATAAAAAACACAAGCAGATGCTGTCGTCATCCTGCATTTAATCCAGCATTTTTCTGAAATGAAACATATCATATGGTAAACTAGATTATAATTTTGTCAAGAACAGTTAGAAAGAGATAATTAAATGTTTGAAAAATACTGCAAAGAGAAGCTACTAACATAACTAATTGGCACGAACAATTTACCATGAAAGCAACTGGTACTTCTTAAGATCTGAAGTGCAAGTGTTGGTTTTTATCAGCAGAGAGCGCTAAAAGCTAGTTATGACACATGAGGGAAACTCAAAGGCAAATACAGCCTTCAGTCGTTTGATCAGCAGTTGGCATGGAAAATTTAACATTTCAAATAGTAGAAGCAAACATAAAAGTAGAATGAATGAGAAACAGACAGAGGGAACATATGGCGTTTCCCGCTAGAATATATGTAATAGAAAAAACTGTCCAGTTTGATAATAAATTAATCTTTTAACTGGAGTGGTGTGATGCAGTGGCGGGCTGTGCATTTCACACCTAGGCCTTCAGTGTTGCCCCGTCTGAATAAATTCACCCCAATAGAAACCATGCTATTATCCAGAAACTTTGAACATTTTGGAAAATAGTCACATTTTACCATCTAAAACTCCTTTTTGAACACAAATTCCATCCTGCTTTCTTTCCTTAAGAATAGTAGCCTGTTGAAAAGATTATTTTTGAGTTTCATATCCATCAAGAAGTCCTTTTCTATCACCATAAAAGCTAATGCTAAAAAGTAGAGCTTGCCCTGCAGTATTTGTAGTTTTACTTCGCCTCATGTCGCAGAATGTCCGCTTGAAGCAAAAGAAGTGGACACGGGAATGGTCACTGCCAAACAAAATACAATTTGCTGTATTTATCGGAGCCTGTAAACCAGGGGTACCTCTCATACAGTAGTGAGGACTGAAAGTAGCGAACATATCCTTTTTCCGCATGTCCCGAGACAATGTCCAGCTTTTCATGAAAATTCCAAATGGTTTTCGACAATATATCCAAATCCCTTTTTCTCCTCCTTCGGCCAATGTGGGTTGGCAAAACAGCTTTTAAACCAACAAAACTATCTTTTGTCTCGGAGTTCTCTACATATGCAGTTAGCTAACCATAGCTAGTCCGCTCTCTGGCTGTCCAATCAGCAGGTGTCACTACGCTGACGTCACCGTGCGTCTGCTCAAATTCTGATTGGTTGAAGCAACAGTTTCATTGATATTTTTTCAATTTTTTGGAAACAAATAAAAGCTTAAATGTGATTGGCTAAGTACTTTTAAACAAAATACACATTTGGAAGTGGCACAACCTAAAACTAGGAAAGTGAGGGACAGACCATTTGGAATAATATTACAAAAATGAATGGAATAAAATAATAAAATATAATTAACATCAGTTAAACTTTTAGGCAAGCAAAGAAGGCCTTACAGGCCCTGACAGACCACTACTGGTGTGATGTGATAATATCTGAAGGGCCTGATCAGTCCAGATGCTGACATAGGATGCAATCCTTCTGAATAACATGATAGCAAACATATTCTTCCAAGTGGATATATTTCCGTTTTCCAGCTTTAATTTATTAACTTCCTGATTATCATAATAACAAAAAAAAAATTATCTTTTTTATTTTCCATCCTCAAAGCTGGGAGTAGCCATATTAACATAGCACTGGATACTGTCTAATAATACATTGCTTGTTAATTTCCTTTTTCGGCAGGATTTGAGAATGCTTAAAAAATATTGTACCACCCCCAAAACTAGGTCAATAAAATAGTCTGAAATAGTCTGCTTGTTTTATACTAAATATGTAGGGTTTCAAGTTACCTAATGGGGTAATTAGGTTGAAGGTTGTTGTTCATTCTTATAAGACAGAAAAAAATAGCTTCTTTTCCCACAAACACTCATTGTTGTCTGAGAGTTTACATGTTCTTGACAGCCTTTACAAAAATTAATGTACTTGGCCTCAGTCTTGATACTGCAGCCACTTACAGTACATTAGCTGTGAACACCAGCCAGAATTCCTGCAAACACAAATAAGAAACGACGTGCTGTTATTGATGAGATGCTGCAGAAGAAACACACCATAGAACTCTGTTCAACTGTTCATTTTTAAGATTATCCACCAAGACTGAAACTCTTGTTTTTATGAATTTCTTTTTAGATTTTCATCAAAGTCTTCATGTTAGTTATTAAGAATACACAGGTGAAGAAACTGCAAATTAACAATGCTCTGCCAATGTGTGTAATATTAGTACAAACTTGCTTCACTCTTTATAGAATGCGCTGAAATACCGGTAAGTATTTTTTTTATTCATCAGAAAAAGAAGTACAAAATAAATTTTCAAGCCTTTGTGGAGGAAATTCAAATGATAGCACAATAAACTCCCTTGAAACCTTGTATCCCATGCTCTGTTGATGTTAACTGATATGACTGTCTCAGCACAAATTAGTTAGCCATTTGCTACTTTTCCTTTGACAGATTTAAAACAAAAATAGAGCCAAATTAATCAAAAATCCTGTTGACGTATTGCTAAAAGATAAGAAAGAATTTAAGTCACCCATCATGCTACACACTTTCTTTTTTTTCCTATACTGACCTGAATTCATCATGAACAAGGAGGGAGAATATAGTGGGGTCAACTATTCCATCCAGTACGAGGAATCATGGAAAAAAAAACATGACTGAGGTGTGCAAAAGGGCATTCCTCCTGGAAATGTTCCATGAAGTCCCCATTCTTTACAACACACAAAAAGCACAGCATGATCTGACATCACAAGAGCAAGATTCTTTGAAAAATGATTCATAATGCCAGTACGACATCCTCACTGAATCAGATTAAATATATAAACACAGGTCAAACTTTCAGTAACTCAGGCTGATGCTGTCAGTGTGTTTGTGTTTGGGAGAGCCAGACTGCCAGTTACATTACCAAGTTCTATCTATGTCTTCATTTCTGTCACTGGTACAAGGGATGTTCATTTTTTATTTTGATCATCAATAAGTCGGAATTAGTCACAGTTCTCTGTCGGCAAAACTGAGTAAGCTTCCTCCACCACCACTCAATTTAAGGAGAAACATGATTCAGCTTGCCATTCTCAGGTTTCACCGCTTGTTAGAGTTACTGTTAAAGACTCATTGGTGATATGATCTCAGTTTCCTGCCAAGGGGGCGATTGTGAAGCAATCAATTGATCTGTCAAGCACATTCAACAGTTCAGTCATCGTTTGTGTCATCTTCAACACTTAAAGAATAGAGGGGTCTCAATGCTCTTTCTATTAAATCAAAACATTATATTTGAGTTCCCTTTTCGTTTTGTTTACACGCCAGAACATCTGCTTCTATTAGCCAAGAAACTGCCACATATATCAGCGCTTTGTGTACTTCTGTTGAACTATAAATATAGTTCAAATACTAGCCACAGATCTAACAAGCATGAAGGATTTTGCTATGCTGCAGTGTTATTAGGCAAGGGAGAAGAGGATAAATGGAGAAACACTGACTTTGTCTAGCTTTTTTTTAACCTTCATTTAACCAAAACTATGCTCTGTATGTGTGCTCTGGCCAAGACAGACAACAACTCAAGTCAGCAATATTAAATAAAACAACACACTAAAACTATAATTGTAAATAGTTGTAAAGGGAGAGCCATAAACATAAGTCCAAATAACACATGTTTAACAACTGAAACCTCACCAAATTTAACAACGCAGTCTTAAACAGAGAGCATCATTCACAACCCACCATGTCTGCTCCTATTCATCTAAAACTTGTTTGAGTTGATTCAATCGCACCAGTTCCTTAAGATTTTGGTGTTTTTTTTCAGTTTCTTCCATGCAGAGGAAACATCCCTCCATCCATTTTCTGAACCGCCAATTTCCAAATGGGGTCGCGGAGGACAATGGGCGAGAGGCGGGGTACACCCTGGACGATCCGCCAGTCCATCGCAGGGCCACACAGAGACACACAGAGACACACAAGGACGATCAACCACTCACATTGACTCCTAAAGGCAATTTCGAATGTCCAATCAACCTAACATGCAGGTTTTTTTGGACTGTGGGAGGAAGCCGGAGTACCCGAAGAGAACCCACACAGACACAGGGAGAACATGCAAACTGAAGGTTCGTGGTATCCCCCGGGTACTTTAACCCAGATGCCTCTTGCTGTGAGGCGATGGTGCTAACCACCACACCACCGTGCCGCCACAGAGGAAACAATATACTAAAATGTTTTCTTCACATTTTTTAAGAGCTTAAAGTCTTCTAGTGTCAGGGTGAAATCTCTAATGAAACAGAGGTGCAGTTTTTGCAGCTACAAGTTATCATCTGCACTAGGAACACAAACTGACAATACCAACAACACATTGTATTTGTTTATGGCGTCAAATACGCTTTTGTTTGCTGAAAAGCAAGACAGTGTGCTTCTGTTTATCGTGTCAGGCCAGCGAAGTCTATCATCCAGATGTTTTTGCTGCCTTTCAAGTAGCAGAGACATACAGCAGTCTCCTTTGGGTTACGGATTAGTTAGTGGAAACTGTTCCACTTAAATGTTGCTGCACAGAGAGCTTCTCTTACCGTGGCATGAATTTCAATCAGGAATCTTGAGAAGAGAAGCAGCACTTCAAGTCTGAACTTGATTGTTTGACCTTAAGCAAAAATAATTAGGTTCTTCTGAAAGAGGGGAAATCGTTCTTGTGGTAGAAGTTCCTTTATGATGTACAAGTAATTGCCCCGTGGAAGAGATGTTCAGCAAGATCAAATCTGCTGTCAGCTTAGCATATATGATTTTATTAAAGAAAGTATGTAGTAGTTTTTAAACCTTGGTTCTCAATAGTACATTTTGAAAAAAAAAGAGGGGTACATTCTTCCCAGACTCGAGGGCCTCCCCTGAACAAGAACAAATGTCTTGTCAAGTACTCTGGGAAGCTTAAATGTACTGTACAAACCAATAAACCTTGTACCACTTAAGTGGATGGAGACAAACAAAACAGGGATGTTAGAGCTTTTACTTGTACTCAAAGTCATTCTCAGATCCATCAACTACAA